GGGGGGGGACGCCGATGTGTCCTCTCTTTGTACACAATGTAAGAAAAAAAAACACGAACAACATTGTTGCCTGAACATAATTTGGATTTTCAATGTTCACCCCTTATTTTCAAACACATCACTTCGCTAATAAATAAATACATTTGGGGAGGGGGAGAGGGGGGGGAAATATGTTTCCAAGGGAGGGTAGGAGGGCAAGGGGGCAAAGGGGAGGGTATTTGGGGGGATGACACAATATTTCGATAAGAATTTTATACGTGTAAACAAACATAAGAATCGTGAACCAACCAATGCAATAATAAAACAACCCACATATGTATTGCCAATCATACGTGTTTTTTGGTATAGTACTCAATATGTTTCTCTAATCTTCATGCATTAGCCGGGAAAACTCAGAAAATTTCATGAGTTTACACTGTGAAAGATAATAAATGTTAATCAATATGCTTAAAAAATAATAAAACTCATCATAAATAGTATTAAAGACCCCTGTAACTTCACATAATGACAATGAAATTGTGACACCCCATAATTTTTGTAAGAAAGCGATGTAAAATTTGCGGTTAACAGAACCACAAAATACAAACAAATGTGGGGTACCTCCCAAAAATTGACTTAACAAAATATCAAAAGTCACCAAAATCACAATGAAAATAACAAGACCAAGGACCTTGAAGGAGACGGAAAAAACCGGAACTGCGCTAGCGCTAGCGCCCTAACGCCGGCCGACCGGCAAGGCCCGACTACACCCGGCTTGACCAGCGTGTTGGAGAGGTGAGCCCCCTCCAGGCCGCTGGGCCTGTGCACGCGCCCGACACGTGGTCGTGGCTTTTAGCTTGCCACGTGCCACCTGCCGTTTGGTGGCGTTGACGCCCCTCGACGTGTGAACCGGGGAAGCGCCAGCCGTGATTGATTGGAGGTTACTGTATAACAGCGGTGCAGTTCTTTGAGCGAGTGTTGTAGTGCATGACGTGAGGTTTTGAGGTTGGAGATGGCGAGGGTGAACGAGAAGTGGTCATGAGCGGCCGGGTGGCTCAGTACTGCTCAAGTGAGTGCTGCGCAGTTAAGCCAGATGGTGGCGAAGTTGAGAATGATTGTGACCGAGGGGATGGAGCTGCCGATGCCGTGCTCTAGCCTGCCGTCTATCTCCCCTGCTTTCTTAGCGCTGCCCCGCTGCTCTCCTTAGCTTGTTGCGCCTCGCCTTCAGTCTGCCCCCTCCTATTAGCGCAGTGCCTGCAACGCTTGGTCCCACAGCGCCCGATCTGACAGTACCTCAGTGCGGCGATCTCCGTAGCTGCTCCTGTCGGTCTGAGGGGACCTTCAAGGGAGATCTGCCTTAGGCAGATTGATCAACCTTTCATCCCTATGCCCGAGGCCGACGAACGATTTACAGATATGTGGCATAGCGGCTCACTACTAGCATCCACCCCGTTGACATGGGTTGTGTACTAACCCATACATCACAATGGGTGTTCCGTTAGCACAGGCAATAAGTCGGTGGTCATGACGTCCAAAATCCCGCAGAGGAGCGCAGCCTACGCCTGGCTGCCCACGGCTATCTCAACCCCTCAAGGGGTGGGAGGGAGCGAGTCTGCCTCAAAGCCTAAGGCATGGGCTTACATGAGGAGGGCCCCAACGCAGACCTTGTTGGTAGTAGTAAATATTCAAATGAGAAGTTTGAAGACCGTCGTGATGGAGGGTTTCAGGCGAAACAAAAACTACACCGCGGCCCCACCCTGGTGTTGACCTGAGAACAGATTACCGAGCTATGACCTTGGAGGGGAAAAAAAAAGTAAAAAAAAAGTAGCAAAAATAAGATTAGACGCCGCGCGTCCCGCTGGCCCTTGACGCCACGCACACTCATGCCGTGCACATCCGTGCCCTGTGTGGTTGCACCTTACCATCGACCCCCTGCGCGCGCCGCCCACCCCGGCGAGGGGCTAATCTCCCTTTCGTACTCGTGCCGTCGAGCGGACGGGGCTGCACAAGTGCAACTTAAAGAAAACACGCCAAATACCCATGTAAGGGTATTTGGTACGACAGCCTGCCCGGACCCTATTAAGCGACGTCCCCGTCGCACTGGATGCTTAAACGAAATACGTTTCAAACCTAGTCTTCAAAAAAAGTATATGATAACTTTCTCAAGTTTTTAACCCTAGCTAAAACGGTCATTTAGTTGTATCCACTCCAAGCCTTCACTCTACAAAGGAAGAGGACAAAATCGTCGGTCAAAAGTATGTTTTGGTTCCTAATCAAAATAACAATCTACAAATAGCCGAATAATTGGCTAGGCCCGAACACTTTTCACCCTCTAATTTAACAAAGTGGGTAAAACCAACCGAATAATTGGCTAGGCCCGAACACTTTTCACCCTCTAATTTAACAAAGTGGGTAAAACCACTTTCCACCCACTACAATCACAGACAGGGAGTCATCCAGCATCAACTTAAGACTACGCCACTTCCGGTCTCTTTGAGCGATATTTTGTCGCGCTGGGCACCCTGATCATCCTACCACCAACTAAAGCTCAGACTCAGTGGTAGGTCCAAATTCGGGATCTTAACCTTTATTCAACCTCTTTTCTTTTCATACATCAATTATTCAAACTCAATTGATCCATACATTCGTTTTCAACCTCTTCCCCAAGGAACACCCCATTGTGGGATTTAATTAGACACCTCAATCCCTCAGCTAACTAGAAGATTAAGGTGTTTGACCCTATCACCCATGCCACAGATGTACCTTATGGGTAGGGCCTCGTTAAGCCCAATCCCACAAGCCATTACTATCACGCGGAAGCCACTCATCTTAGTCACTCATCAAACGGGTGGGTAGGGGTATTCATTCAGTCTTCAAAATAAAAGAAAACCACTCATTTTGCTCATAACTTCTACTCGTATGAGCAGGGTTCTTTCACTTTCGTCACACACTTTATCAATCTCAACCATAAGCTTTGCTCAGTGAGCAAACTCTCATAATCTTTCTTCAAAATAAAACACAATGCCACTTTCAACCAAAACCATAGCCGATTGGAGGGCCCCATAATTAGGCAGATCCTTCCTCTCGTAGATGACGCTCCCATCGGCTATTAGTCAAAACTTTAGCTTCTCTCAAGGAGTTTTAATCATGGAAGTCCCCGTCACAAACTAGACCGCTTGTGACCCATAATAGGCTGAGTGAAGGACTTACACCCAAAAGGCTTTCACATTGCCCGTGCTGTCTTTACCAGCTTTTATGTGA